TTTCCTTAAATATATATATTTATATTCTTTTTTATAATAAAAGCCTAACTTTATATTTTACTTTCTATAATTATTTTTAATTTATAATTATATTACTTTAAATATACCTACTTATTATACCTATTTTCTTTATTATATATACTATTATTTCAGTTTTATTTTCTTACTAGAAAGAAAGAAAAACTTAAATATATATAATATCTTTATATAATTCAAGTCTATTCTAATTTACTTTTTATTTTGGAATATATTTAAAAGAAATTCTCGTAATCTCGAGAACTTTTAATTCTATAACCTATAACTATTATACTAATAATATCTTTATAACCTATTAAGAATAACAAAATGGCCAAAATATAGATTCCTTAAACTAGTAAAGTATAGTAGCTAGTTCTTATAAGCCATAGTATTATTAAAAGCCTATAGATTAATAGTATTAAAGTTTAGAGTATTAAAGAAGCTTAGGCAGTTATAGAAGGCCTACTAATACTAGAAAAAATAACTATAATTACTGAATTTAATACGAATATCCTAGATAAGCTAAGTAATATATATAATAAGCTCTTAAAGTAAAAAACCTTTATTAGAAACAGAACTAGACTAGAATTAACTAAGGAGAAGCTAAAGAATTATTAAGCCAATAATAGAGAATTCGAGAATATTATTAAAGGTATTTCTAAAAGCAAATAAGAGAAGCTTAATAAAATTAAGACTATAATAAATAGTTTTAATACTAAGAGTCAGAATAGAATTATATTATATAATAAAGCTTTTGGCTAATATATTAATAATATCTATAATAACCTTAGTAAAAATATTTATAAGAAGTTATACTTTTTCTTTAAAATAAAAGCTTTAGTATATAAAGCTATTTAGTTAATTAATAAAGCTATTTTAGAGTATATTAAGGATAAAAAGTATTAGAATACTAGTATATTTACTAAATTAGATATTACTAAGATACTTAAATATACTAAAGCTATTTCGGAATATAGAGAATTAGAGTTTAAGCTATTATTAGCTAATAATTTTAAGGCTAGATAATATATCTTTAATATTTCCGGAATTCTAATTAAGGAAGTTTATAATAATAAGCCTTTTTCTGCTTTCCGAGATAAGCCTAAAAAATAGGCTCCTATTATAATTTCAGCTTTAATTTAATCGGATCTAGCTAAGAAAATTAGAACTAATTTAATAGAGCCTAATAAGAAAACTACTAGTAAAGCTAGTAGAACTAGTATAACTAAATAAGAAAAACCTAGTAAGAATAGAGAATAAGCTAAGCCTAAAACTTCTAATAAATAGTAGAGATCTAAGTACTAGACTAAATATAAAGTTAGTAAAATAGAAAAAAATAAAAAGAAATTCTTTATTTTAAAAGGAAAGATATTATCTAGAAAGATTTTTATAACTATATCTAGAATTAAAAAGCGGAAAACCAAGAGTATTAAGTCCAGAAAACTTAATAAAGGCATTTAGTATATTTATAAGATATTAGCTAAATAGAAGTTAATATTTACTTAGTAAGATAAGTATATTTTTAAGGAGATATATAATAGTATTATAGAACCTATTTATAAGCAAGAATATTATAGGATTAATAATAGATTTCTTAAAGCTTTCTATATAGTATATACTTAGTAATTTACTAATACTTTCTCTATTAATATATAAGAGATTAAAGATACTCTAAAGCTAGTTATTAAGATCTATAAAGTTACTAAAAATAAGAAGTATATTTTTATTATTTAGGTAAATAAGGAAATATAGGATTTCTTTTTTAAGAACTAGGAAATTAAGAAGTATAAATATAAGTACTATATTTCTAATTAATTCCGCTTAAATCTATAGCTTTAATTCAATATTATAGTCTCTATTCCTGAGTCTAGTATTACTAATCTAAATACTAATAGCCATATTTATAAGAAGAATTACCTGAAGTAAATTAAGAAGCTTAGTATTTGAGAGCTTTTAATAAAAGAAATAAAAATACTATAGTTTTATTTCTAAAAAGATAATATATTAATATATAAAGATTTTAGTAATAGCTATTTTATCTTAGCCTCTTAACTCTTAATAACAGATCTATTAATATGGCTCGGATTTTATAAGATATTAAGCAAGTATCCTATTTATCTAGTTACTTATCTTTAGCTAGCCTAATACTTTATTTCTAGAAATATTAATTATAATTAATATAAAAGTAATACTAAAGATCTAGCTATTACTAAAGCTTTAAGTAGCGAATTCTATTTTAGTAAAAAGTATTAAAATATTAGCTATATTTTCTTTATAGACTATAAAAAGGCTACTACTTTTAATAAGAAGTTCTTTAAAAATATTAATTACTTCTCTATTTCTAATAAATTTAAGCCAGAAGTAGTTAAGGAAATAAGCAAGTATTTACTAAAGGTAATAGGAAAAAAGGCTCCGAATATAGTCTATTTAACTAGATAAATAAATACTTTTAGCTAGGTAATTTATAAGTCTGGAATTATAAGAAAGTATTAATTCTCGGATAATATATAAGTTAAAAAATAGCTTAATAATAATTTACTACTTAATAGGCCTTTTATTATAGTTCTAATAAGTCTAGTTACTATTAAGAATAAAATATACGAAAATGAAGTCTTTTATAAGGTTATTAAAGCCTTTTATCTAGAGCTTTCCTCTCTTATTAAAGATTAATTTCAGAATATAGTAAATAATATAAAATTCGAAGAAGCTATTTATTTAGAGTATATTAGTATGATTTATAATATAATTTACTATAATAAGCCTTTTTAATATCCTATAGTAAAGGCGGAAATTAAGTAATAATTAAAGGCAAATACTAATTAATATAGAGAACTATATTGGATTTAGTATAAGAATATAGCTAAACGGGTTCGAATTGCCTTTAAATAAGTTCGGAAATATAAAATAAGACTATTTAAGGGTAATAAGTCTTATTTTAGGTATATAAAAGAGAAATTAGATTAATTAATAGAGGAGAATCTTAAATATTTTATTATTTCGGACTCTAAATAGGATTTTTCTATTATTTTTAGTATTTAGGAAATAAGTATAAATAAATAGGGGATCGGATATAGTATGGCAGGCCATACTTATTAAAAACCATATTATTTTAGTGGTTTTGAGGTTTAGATTATATAGTAAAGATTATGGCCTTTTATATATAACTTGCGGGAATTATATAAGAAAGCTGGTTTTTCTATAGACTTAGAGAATAATTCTTTATAAGTATTTAATTAATTAAGCTTTTATATATAATATACTATTTATACTTTACTATTTATGCTTTTAATTCGTTATTTTACTATTAAGTTACGTTTTATACTCTAGTATACTTTATATGGGTTTTTGTCTTATTATAGTTTCCCTTTTATAATATATAGAGTTTAATAATAATAATTAGCTTAAGTAATATTATGAATTAACTAAAACCTTAATAATTTTATAGTAATACTATAATAGGGATTTGATTATTATATGAATTTCGGACTATATATAGGTATTTAATATATAAATAAAAGTAAAGAGAATAGAAAGCTAAATAAGTAGAAGTAATAATCTTAAGATTCTTAATACTAGTAATGAAATAATACGAATGGTTAAAAATAAGGGGCTCTGAAAGTTAATGTATTAGAAAAGCTAATTGTATATATAGACGGAAGTCTTATGCAACCCCCTAAACTAGCGCCAGCATGCCTGGGAAGCAGGACACGTGACGGTAGTCACGGGGCAGGAGAGAAAAAACCCCACCACAACGCGTTATTACGAGATCCAATATGCTTTCAATTGTGTCGGGATGCCTCTCACCAAAGACTTGGGTCGGACAAGCATATGGACAGCCGACTCTTCAAATTTGACAATAGCCTCAGTGTGATATGCACATTGACAGCGAGCGTTCAGGTGGATTTGGTAGCCTAATTGGGCTAGTGCTTATGTGGGATCGCATTTCCTAATTGGGACTAGTGCTTCCATACATCCAGCGGAACACTAGATTCTATATATGGAGGCATGCGAGCTTTGGAAATGGGCATCGATTAGTTTCTTGATAAGAACCAGTTCTTGGAATCAATTATACTTCCACGCTTCACTCCATACTTTACCTTATATTCCACTCCTTACCTTGACTACTTGCGTAGCACCCTGCTATATTGTGCGCCTCACACTCAGAAATTAATATTATGTATTTATTTAAAATTAAAGATAAATAGTATAAAAATATAAGAAGTATATATTATAGATAATATAAATAAAAGGGTAAGGCAATATATATATTATTAATCAATTAAGTCTAATGCTTAAAGTTAATAAGTTACTTATTATTGGAAATTATTTAGTGAAATAGACTTATATTCCGGTTCATTCCAAGTAGCAAATCCAACAAGAGTACTATTATCCTGTCTATAGTGAATATGAGCTTATATGTGGAATATATCAGGTTTTGCCTAGTATATTTGATCTCTAGAGACGGGGTCTCTAGCTAATTAGAGCTTTTCTAGTAATAGGATGTTTATAGTATGGATTGCGTGGGAAAAACCACTAAAGACACTGACTCTAGCTATGGTAATAAAGTGGAGGAGTATAAAGAAATAATGATTCAACTTCTGATAAAGACTTTCTATTAACTTTATTGATTTGAACATGCGGTTATAACACTAGTCACAGTTAAAACAGGCGTGGACTCTCTGAAAATTAGGCGCCTCTTGAAAATGGCACACGGTCTGCTAAATTCGGTGCATGCTTCAAAAGTTATATTTCATATTTTGTTTGTTTAAGCCGTACTGCAACGAAAATGACATCATACCCAGACCATCGACTACTCCAGTAAATAGGACACATCAGTTCGTCTGGAAATATGTAGTGAGGCAAAAGGATAGTGGAGCAAGCTTGAATGTGGCATGGTCTCTTCTAATGGTTCACAAAGGAGGCGTCGCAAAGACCCAGTGACATAGAAGTATTCGTAACTTTGCACGTGGGGTATCTATCCTTCAACTTGTCGTTCTAGGACCTACACCAGAGCTTTGGGACACAAAAACCACCAATACAGCCGCACACGCCGCTGTTGCAAGGATGATATCCGTTCTTCTCCCGTCAGTCATGACAGCCAAGCTCGCTGCAAAAATGCTAGTAAACAGTGCTATTAATCCTAACCTGACATGCTGATTTTGCACAATATACAACGCGACGATTGCCCCTTCAATTACCAATGAAGCGGCAAGTACTGTGACTATTGTGGCTAGGCGTGAGACGAGCGTAGACGAGTAGTATTTCACTTCTTTGGACGTTGTGTGTCTTGTGCCCTGCCTCAAGGCTATCAACACTCTATTGCGAAGAACGAAGCAGAGATGATGTGATTTGATAAAATGGGGCTCACAAGAAGGCATCTTCCTCCAAGGTCCTGTAAGAATCTCGCCAGGAAATCTTGATCAGGAGAAGGTTTGAGAGCGACGAAGTCATCTCGTTGTTGAAGGAGTTCATTTCCATAGCCTACGAATGGTTTTTCGCTTTCGAACCAGCCCTGGAAGACTCGAAACACACGCTTACTCGGTTTCGAGAATTTGAGAACTTCGGACTGTAGGAGGAGCGCCTCGTCTGAAAGGCCTTTTAGCGACCAATCGATAAATGTGACATGTCAAGTACGGTATCGACCAAAACACTAGAGACATACGATATTCTTTAATTTGTTTCTTGATCATCATGATAAGTTCCATCCTTTCAGCTTCTCTTGGATGCTCTTTGGCCCTGTCCGAAAATGTCTCCCAGCATTTTGCAGAGAAAAAGTTGTTAATATTTAGCCCTTTCAGGTCTTCCTCGTCGAGCTCCTTTAGTCTGTTCTCGAGCCCTAAGAGGGAACTTTGGAGATACAAGAGATTCCTAGAACTTAGAGCGTGGAAGGTTCTGTAGAGGGAGAGCTCGGTGTCGGAAGAAATGAACGCTGAGAAAGCTGCATAGCTTGAAAATATGGGTGGGGTAGAAGGCATTCTAGTGGTAATAAAAAGTTGAGAATAGTGTGATGTAGCGTGATGGTTGGTGGCGTCAATATGCTGTTAGAGAGGTTAAGCCTTCAGAATAGTGTTGTATTCTCTATTTCGTCAAGAAGGTTAAAATGAAAATGAAAATGCAAATGCTACTTCAACCTCCAGGGTTTGTGCAGAAAGCGGCAGTGTTGCTCTAGCGTGGTTGGAGCAAGCCCTGCCAATGAAAGAGCAGCACTTGTTGGCAGCCACAAGCGGGATAATCGTGAGGCTTTCACCACTTGACACAATCTTTATTGGTGGAAGCCTCATGATCAGCCCTGAGAATAGGGCGCGATGCAAGGATATGTGTCTCTACGAATGTGGGAGAGTTACCACTGCCACTGCCACTGCCACATTTAATTTTTAGAAAACAAAATCTACAGCCTTGCTTGCCAAAAACCTCCATTCTCCTCACAATATTATAATTGAACCTCGTCGAGCATTGTCCAACATGAATTCTTACCTTCCCCCTGATCCTTACAAGCTACTCGGCGTTGCCAGGGATGCGAAACTAGCAGAGATCAGAAGTGCGCATCGCAAGTCAGTCCTCAAATGCCATCCCGACAAGGTACAAGACGCGGCTCTGAAGGCGGTTAAGCAAGATGAGTTCCAGAAGGTGCAACAAGCCTACGAGCTGCTCAGCGACGACGCCAAGCGACAACAATACGATTCCCAAGTCAAGTTGTTCGAGTTGAGGATGGAGATGGGAAGAGGGAATCCGTCCAAAGGCTCGCATTTCGAACCGCCTTTGAAAGCTAAAGAACAGGGGCTGGGACAATGGAATGTAGAGAGAATGAAGCCTCTCTCAAGACCACGGAATAAACCCACCGGAATATTAGTTGTACAAGGACATATCAACGGCCGAAAGACACAAGCAATCCCCGATACTGGAGCAGAAGGTAATATCATGGCGGCTTCCTTCGCCCGCGACATCGGTCTTACCATTCAGAACCAGAACCCCAGTCAACTTCTACGTATGGCCAACGGAAAGCACATTGAAACTATAGGCACTGTTCAAGCTGTGTGGAGCTTTGTGTCAGATCCTGTCCAAAACTGGAAAATCACATTCCAGGTCCTTGCCGATTTTGTTTACGACCTTGTACTTGGCTCAGCATTCCTTACTGCTACTCAAACAATGTCTTATCACCAACACCGGCTCTGTCGGATTCCCCGACCTTTGCAATCCCTCTCAGTTCTCCGCGTAAATATTCTTGGGAGTGGATGCCAGCGAGTGCTCGGTATCTTCCAAGGAAATATGATGCAAGCCCTACCGGATTCCGGGTCGGAGGCAAATCTCGTGTCGCTTGACTATGTGAAAAGGCACGGGTGGCTGCCAAAGATCAAACGCGAGGATCAGAATATGTTACAATTTGCGGACGGAAGTACTGAAAAGACGGAAGGATCGATTATGGCGCGATGGAGATTCCTAAGAGTCGGTGACGATGACCCGGAGACAAGCTTGCGGGTGAAATTACACGTCCTCCGTGGCTGTGTCTATAATGTGATCCTGGGGCAGGATGTGCTTGAGGACGCAGATGCCTTCTTAAGGCACGAGAAGGCTTTCCTGGATATGGCGTCAAGTAAGGAGTCTTTAGGGCTGAACTTAGTGATCTGGCTGCCAAAGGCAAGGCGAAAGACACTATTCAGATCCTCGCGCGGTAATCAATCAGACATAGCGATACCCGAGGCAGCTAGAGAAGGCGAGGGCCTCCACAGTGAGCTCCAACGACGCGCAGCTGCGGACCGGAATATCAGTCGGATGCCAAGCGGTAATGAAAGGGAAGCCGCTATTGCAACAGAAACAGAGATGCGCCGCACCTTCGACACTAGTCAGCGCTTTACCAATGCGCGGCCCGAAGCTGAGTATTCTAGTTTATAAGAAAGGAAGTGGAACGCAAGATAAGCAAGTGCGTTGGATTCCGTGTACATCTTTTTTTGAATGTCTGTAGACACTTGAACAGAAAGTGCGAGTCTTTTGCTATCAAGATCGGTGTATGGTGAAACTTTACAATCATCGTATTTTGAAGACATGGTATTGAGAGATGAAGAGATCAACGTTCAAAGCGGGAGTCACTCCATATAAGTTGTAGGATCGAGGGGATGAGGTCTTGCTGTATGTCTCAAGAATCCTCACAAAGCAAAGTAAACCCGACAAATCAGGAATCAACGCGGATGAATTGATCAGCAGTAAGGTCCCTCAGACCAGAATTTAACGCCATGCCGCCCGGTCTTCTGTCTCACAACTCTCCACCCCACGATAACGGAGCAGAGGGATAGCGTGCCCTTATCCTATATACAAGTGGGCAGCTCCTTCGGTCCCTTCGCATGTCAGGCCGTAACTGATGTGCTTGCTCCTCGGCCATCATTCGCAAAGAATAAGGAAGCCTTGCTTGGCCTCAAAACTTCGAGGTTCTATGCGCGATTAGTTAAGTCCAGCCGTATGACCCATATATGGTCAAGTACTCTCTACATCCTCAGCACCAATCTGAGCTTTCTTCAGCCTGTGGTTTCAAGTCTGATGGAACGACACGCCTCCGTCGCCACCTCCATCACCATCCTCAAGCTCCTCGTCTGCGTCTTCGTCGTCGCCATTCAACGGGTTCATGCCCATCATTGCAGTTGCCCCAACCATGCCCGTCATAGTCTGATCATCGTCGTCATCGGCACCCGTCATTGGGTCATCGAAGCCACCAGTTGGTTCCAGACGGTTGAGGTGGTTGCGAAGACCAGTGACTCCTTGTCCAGAGAAGACGCAGAAGACATTTCGTTGATGCTCAGTGAATTCTATTGGAAAGTAAGCAGAGAATCGCAGTCTAGAAGGAACCAGACTAACCTGGAGGTGCGTCCCTGCAGAACTGTTCAAGATCATTTCGAAGGAAGGCTTGAACACCTGTCAAGCTGAGATGGGTGAGTTTTTGGCAGTTGTTGAGGAGGACAACAATGCTCTGTATAAAGAAGTCAGCATAGAAGAGAGAATAATGACTATGGTAATCATACGTTGAGCGTCAAGTTAGTGCAATAGCTAAGATGAACTCTCTCGAGGCTACTGCCAATCATGAAGTCTGGATCATCGGGTCTCATGATCCGACCATGTCGATCATGTCTTGGGCGTTGAGCCTGTGCCAAAGCATAAACACTCTCGTCGGTGATGTTGGAACATTTAACAAGACCAATTCGGCGTAACTTGGGAAGAGAAGCCAACTTCATGACTGATGAGTCAGTCAGATGAACGCAGCAGCCTAAGTCGATGTATCGGATTCGGTTGCAACATTGGACAAGCTTCATGACAGCAGCATCCGTGATCTGTCCGCAATGTCCCAGGTGGAGGTAATGGAGATTCTTTCCCAGCTTGCTGATAGCGTTCACAGCCAGATCAGTCAAGTTTCTGCATTTGGCAAACACCAAATTCCTCAATCGGGGGGCCACGTCAATGATCCTCTCAACAGCTCGATCCGTCAGGCGTGCACAGCTTGTCAGATCAAGAATTCGTAGATGTTCGTATGTTTGGTTGGGAGGTAAGGTAAGGAAGGCAGCATCGGAGATCTGTTCGCAGTTGGCAAGTCTTAGTTCTCGGAGGGTCTGGCCATTGGTAAGGAGAGCATGGACTGGTTCGTTGCCGATCAGTTTGCATTGGTGTAGGTCGATTTCGAGGATGTTGGGGCAGTTCTTCGCAAAGGCCATAATGGCAAGGTCTTCGAGTTGTTCGCATTCGTTGAGTTTCAGCTATAAAGGATTAGCATACATCAGCAGGTATAAATAGAGGTGAGCTGACCCTCTTGATGTATCTGCACTTCTCAGCGACCTTAATCATAGACTCATTAGAGATCTTTATGCAAGCGGAGATGTTGAGTCCTTGTAATCGTCGACAGTTTTCTGCCAGAGTGAACATCGATGCCTCGGTGATTTGCGTGTCGCCTGATATGTCCAGAGCAAGGAGATGGCTGCAATCCGTGAGGAGACCTTTCAGTCCGTGATCTGTCAGACCTTCACAATTTGTCAGCGTCAAACGCTCGACTCGCGTACAGACGGAGAGCGGGAAAACGCTGCCATCGTTGACCCCGTCTGCTAACGTAGCCAGGTTGAGGCGCTTGATGAAGTCTCGATATGCGAAGTATGGGTTGGCTATGCTGAGCGTTCTGCAGATCGAGCCATGCTTATTCCACGTCGTACAAGCCGGCCGATGCCACAGCAAGTCCACACTGTTCCGAGCCCATCTCTTCGATACACACATGCAGTTCAGCAGATCCTGCGGGTTGCTGAGCTTCGAGAATATGCCAATAAGGACCTCTGCTGGGAGGCGATTCGCGGGGGGCATGCAAACTTCTTCCGACACGGCCATATCTTGGAAGGTGGGCACACCGATGGAGGACTGGGAATCGTTGTTGCCCAGGTAGAAATCCGACTCCTCGTAGTCTGCGCGAGCCGGAGAGTTGCTCGAAGAGGATTGCGAGTCCCCCTCTGGGTCGGGAGTGGCCCGATATGGGGCATCTGTATCTAGGGGCGCCATGTTGGGAACGGGGCCTCTCATGATAACGGCGGGGTCTGTTTCGGGAGGGAAAGAGCGATTAGGTCGAGCTGGCAACAGCGCTGGACGCGTCGAGCAAAGTCCGGGGAAGGCGTGAGCTGTTGAGGGCAATTATTAATGGAGCGGGATCGCGGCCAAGGCTTGTTCTCGTTTCGGGGGAATGTTGGGGAGCCTCTCAGCCTCGCGCGAAGCAAGGGTTTTCGTTGTGGGGTGTCGTCGTGTTCAAGGCGACCTGGATCCAGAGAGTCGTGCTCGAGGGTCCATGGGGTGAGCGACGGTCCTGCTTTCGATGCTGGTGGTCTGGAGAGGCGGCGGGTGTTGCTTGGTGATCAGATTCTGGCGATGTTTGAGTCTGTGATGGAGGTTGCAAATGCACCTGGTGATGCAGCCGTTGGTTGGTTCGCTTAGTGTGACGTCCTTGCTGAGGAATGGAAATTGTTGACACGTGATGGCTGAGCGTCATCCGCTATCCCCGGGCCGAGCAACTCGCTGCTGGTGAGTGCGGGCCGCAGACAAGAGGTCACAGAGGACTTCCAGTCACACGAGAAGGAAGACAGTATTCACCTTTGACTCGGAAAGGGGTTGGGGGTGATTCTGATTATGTCTTACATCACTACTGAAATTGGAAAGAGACAACGGTTATCCTAAAAATAGATTTGATGTCAGTGTTGAGACATCTACCAACATTCAAGTGATGCTTGGTCCAGGAAGTTCCCATTGGTATCCCGACTCCATTCGCAATTCGCGTTGATCTTACCGCTTTATATCTCGCAGCGCACTATCTATCCCCAAGAACAATCTGTGCATCAGGCCATGCTGTTAGCGTATCAACGGCTGACGAGTGCCATTATTGCTACCAAAAGCAAAGCAAAGCGAAGTAAGATGGGTGTTAAGGAAGGTCCTGTTTGTACTTTATGAGTATAGGTACTATTTGAGGCGGTGGCGTCGTTGCTCCAGTGACATGACACAGCGGGGGTTCAGAAGCAGCTCAGCTGCCATGATCGATCTCCCTGTCGTGCCTTCCTCATTGAAGATACATCAACCAAATTTGAGCCCCCAGCCCACAGCTGCATTACACATCGATTCCCAAGTGCTCTTGTCATAATTTCTTAGAGCAGAATTTCCGGATCGGACCGAGCTCCGTATGATCATCCTTATATCTGCTCCATTTGTCCAACGGCAAGAAACACCAGGCTTCAACCTAGTTAGGCCCATCCTTCGAGAAGCAATCGCTCACAACTCACAACTCGGATTTGAAAAGTCACGGGAAGAAACTCTGACCTCATGTCGGTACACCTATCGCTTGCCCTCAGATGGAGAATTCCGGCTGCTTACCTTGCATCCTGGGGAGTTCGGCGACAATGTATCAATCTCGCTGGAACACTTGCCATTCACTATATCACCAAGCACATATGAAGCTCTTTCTTATGTGTGTGGCATTTCAGCCGGTTGTCTTGAGGCGGCCTAAGATTCAACGCTAGAAGCTATAAGACGCAGAAAAGTAATAGCTAAAACGGGTCATCGATTAGATTCTTACTAGAACTGAGTAATTAAAGAGCTTTAGACATACTTATTGCTCATTGTACACACTTTACTAGCCCTACTAACCGCTTGCCTGCAGCACCCTGCCATTGAGTTCACACCCCAGGCAAGCTTGCCCACCATTCACTAGGACAAGGCGCTTGCTTATCATTTTGGCAGTTCTTCTCTAACTTCAGTCCCAATGTGACAATATCTATCATTCTTGCAGAAGTCTTGCCATTGAGGGTCAGGGGCTTTGCGCATGGCCTCTCCGCCGCAGTTGGAGAGTTCGGTGCCGTTTTCTCTGCACTACTCTCCAACTGGCTTACTACTCCCATGGTAATCGGCCTGGCCAATGTCTCGTGGGTCTTCTTTGCCTGTAACTTGATGGGTGCTATTAGTACTTATTTCTTAATCCCCGAGTCGAAGAACAGAGATGCGGATAGGATTGACTTTGAGTGACAAGATGCCCAAGCGAAGGAAAACGGTGTGACGGTCAAGATATGAGAGTTAATGGCAAGAATCTAAAGGAGAATAATTCGATATGAATTAACTGTTTTCCTTAGGGGGTGTTTTTTTAACTTTTAAATTGACACAAAATTCAAAGCGCGTCACATACATGTCATGACTCAGTTACGAAATGTCTACTAGAGTATCCCACGCGCCAGGAATTAAGGGAGCGAGCCACTTGCGCCGCCGTAGAAAATCATTGGAAGAGAAAAACGACGTATCTGCTCATAAGCTAAGAGAGTTTTGGACTTGGAAAGATAACTTATAAATTAATAATTGAGGCAGATATCACGTGGGGCACAGCACGTGATCCTATAAGTAGGATAAAAGGTTTGATTCTTAAGTAGCATCCATGATTCTAGGCTTCAATTATTCAATTTTGGAGGGCAGTTAAAAATGAGCCGAGGGGATATATTAATTAGTCTAATAAAGACGTTGAGAACTACGTAAACCCTCTCTGAAACATGTCTAGTACTCTTATGAAAGGAGACAAGAATTCTCGAACAGCAAATTTAGCAGTTAAATGTTACACTCACTACACTTTATGTTTCTTCAACCCGGCCCCAAAGTTTGAAATCAATCAAAGAATATAAGAAAATACGGTCGGGATACGGAAACACCCTAGGTCCCAGCCAAAGCTCGATCTTGGTCTACTTGGAAAACTTGAAATACATGACCTGCAACTCCTTGTTACTACTAGGTCCCAGGTGACTAGGAAACTCAGCCGAAATTGTCTCCGTGATTTTCTCTTTCTTCAGCCGCGATTTGCGAAACAATTGCCTTGGCAGCTTCAAAACCCCGTTCAATCACCAGCTCACTTGCGCGTCTCAGGCTCTGCTCGAACTGCTCCAACACCTCCTTGGTAATTTCCGGAGTCGCCCTCTCAATTCCCTTTGGCAGTTTCCGCTGCCTAACATACAATGTTTCCAACTTCTCCAGGTGCTGAAATGCATCTGAGATATTTAATTCCGTGTAGGATGCCATCAGCTGGCTCACATAGTAAGATAATTCACAAGTGTCTCGCATATCTCTCACAGGGGGCCCGTCAGGTGAGTCCATTGTCTGCTCCCACAGACTTTTGTAGTCTTCTTCCCATTCTCGGCAGCAGGTCACCCCAGATTTCCAGTTCTTGGACCGCACTGCCTGTTCGATGCGTGCCAAAAACTGTGTTTTCCGTGCGAAAGAAATGCTCTCCTCTCGTATTTCAGGAGTAGAGAAGATTAAAGACCCAGAATCGAGAAGTGTAAAAAATTTGTCGAGGTCAGCAAAGCATTTCGAATGATCCCGTCTCTGGCGGGCGGCATTAGCTTCCAGTGTAAGTCGAATGCTATATGTATGCTCGATAGAACGAAACAGGTCCGCGAAATAGTTTGGCGAGAGGAATTCAGAGTCTGGCGGTGCACTTTTCTGGAGTTCTGCGACGAGATGCGGCAGATCTGCGCGTATCTGCTCAACTTTCTCAACTGGTATATCGTCCTTCAAGGAAGCGGCGACCTTCTTCAGGCCCGCGAGGAGCAGGCGATAACGTGCGGTTTGTGGCAAGCACATTGCTACCAACTCTGGCACGCCATCAGGACCAGAGAGACGGTCTGCACGATCAATAACCTCTATCGTAGAATGGTAATCCCCGTCTTTCTCAGCATTTTCGACGCCTTGGTAAAGGAGTGCTGTCTCCACTAACATATCCAATGTCTTCTCTTTGGTTCTCTCGTTGGCAAGCCGGGGAAGATAACTCTGCATAAATTTCTGAACCGACTCTCTTGTTTCTGAGTCTTGTAGTCCAATTCTAAAAGAATCAGGATTGGTGTCTTTGAAGGTTTCCTTCAACGTTTCCAGGTATTTGATCGCTTGTGGTGGAGCTCCGGTTCTTTTTAAGATACTCAATTCGTTATCCATCATCTCTGGATATGTTTGTTTCACAGAGCTGGAATCTGGTTGCTGCTCTGACATCAAGAGTTGTTGTAAAGATCCTTCCTTAGCGTAACTTTCTTTGATAATACGGATATTTTCGACCACAGTAGCAGAAGAGGGATCCTGTGAAAGGATATTTGCAACGGCGTCAAGATGGTTACTCGCTTCGTCGGTATCAAGACTAACCATGGCATCGATGATCAATTCCTTGTGATAGTGAACGGCGGTGACAGGGTTTCCTCCCGGTCCAAGAGCACGTTCTATCGCACCAAGCTGTACATCTGGGTTCTGCAGGTCGAAAAGAAGGTCCACCAAACTGCTCTCCTTGTCGTGGAGCGTCAAGCTGCTACCTTTCATTTGTGACCTCTCAAACCTCTCACCACGAACCCTGCTCTTAAATATGTCCCAAACTTTCTCCAGTGACTTGTACCAAGCTCTCATTTGATCGAACACGAATCTTGGAGATTGAGTCGCGGAGATTTCGGGTATCATGGTGCTTGAAAGGATTGCCTCGAATCCTCTCATCGCTTGCTTGCCAGATTCGAGCATAACTGCCCAAGCAGTATCAGCTTCTTCCTCGTTGCCTTCAGCTAGGCATAGCTCTGCCTTTGCTATGAATAGAATGCTTTTCGGTAGGAGGACTCCGGGATCTGATACAATGCCATATTTTCCCTCTGATTGATGGAGTGCATCCTCTCCCAGTTTGACGAATTTTCGGGCTTTTTGGTTTTCCGAGGTTGGTGAGTGGATATACTTGGAGTGTATGGTAGCGAGAGAACCGGCAAGACTGAGGATACAACCTAGTTCCCGGTGTTCATAGAACGGCCCACCTCGACTAGCCTGGCTGTGACAAACTGATTTTTCAAGCAGTTGTTCGAACAACTCAGAAACTGCCCTGATTTCGGAGTCGGTAGCGACTTTTCGGAAGCTCATTCCATAAAAATCAAAACTTAAACGGGGCCACAATAGTACAGGTAAAGCAGTCGGACCTCCCCCGATACAAATCTTGCATGCAAAAAGAATGTTTTGTAGGCCACGTTCGCTCAATCTCCGGATTTCTTTGGGGCTAGCGACAGCATTTTGCGGGCCTAAGGGAATTTGGAACAGTGGATTGATTGGACTGTCCATACCGCTCATCACCGTTTGCGTAAAGCGAAAATACTGGAAGTTGAGTTGTCTTAGAATCTCGGAACTCAAGGAAGTCGTGAGAAACTGAACCGCGTCGTGCAGGCCGCCTGGAGACTCTGTAGCAAAGGAAACTAGGTTTCGAGGCCCGCGTTGTACGTGTCCCATGACACTGCAGGCGAAAGATTTGGAGAACGATGCCCAACTTCCTGTTGTCAAATTTGGTAGAGATTGATCTTTTGAGCAGGCCAGCACTCTGCAATATATAGTAAATAGTGGGTGGACCCATTCGATCTTGTCGCCACATCCTAGATCAATATAGCCCCATTTTGATGCCAACTCTAGAGCTCGGTCAATATCTGACTCGAACAGACAGATCTTGAATTCGGTCAACATCTTCCGAAACAAGTGTATAGGCGGCCCTTCATGCCAATACCAGCCGAGTGTTATCAGTACTGGCAGTAAGTTCTTTGGTGAGTTGTTGATATTGCGTTCCAACTCTCTGAAGATGCCCCCCAGGTCGTAGTCCGAGTGGAGTAGCAATTCTCTACTTAAATATCCACCGTGAAGCATTTCGTATAACTGAACCACAGGGTATGAATAGGTTCTTGCCAAGTTACCAAAGTATAACAGGGCAGCGGGTATTCCTTGAAGTAGATTTACCAGAAGCTCAAAATAGTCGATCCCCCTCGCGTCCTGGTTGTTGTCGATATCTGCATGTTTGTGTAACATAGTCGCTCTCAGAAAATCTCCAGAAAGCGGATGTTCCAACGGAATGAGTTCGAGTACAGCCATACTCGACCAAACATCGAGCCAGTGAGGCTTAGCCTTAGATCGACCAGCAATTACACAGAAGCCACAAGGCTCATTGGTGGATTCCTGTTGTGACTTGGTGAGCTCCATTAGAAATTTGTTGATTTCGGAGGTGGCGATATTTGCAGTTCGATTTCCAGGCTCGAGCGCGGTAAGACCGTGTATTCCATCAAGTATCAGAGCAAAACGGAGTTGCTGAAAGAGCCGCAAAACCTTTCTTTCCTTCGTAGCAACTGTATCCGCGGGTGCGTCACTGACTGTGGATTCGCCATGAGGCAATTGTGCGAGTAGCTCGGTGAGGAGCGCTTCTCGACTTCGAATTGAGGTGACCGTGAAATCAATGTAGATTACAGCAGCAACAAAAGACGTACTCCTCCAAAGTGACCCTAGATTCTTCAAAAATGCCGATTTCCCAACGCCAGGGACTCCATACAGGTAAAGTGCCTTCATAGCACTGGTTTCCCCATTTTCGAATGGCTGTCCCAGCAACCTCTTCTCCAATCGGAGTATGTCGAAGTCTCGTCCCACGAAGTTGGTGTGTATGGGAGTACTATCATCCATGGGAAGTGTTTGACTGGTAGGACTGTTGATCGGGGCTATGTAATGACTCTGGGCCTCAAAGAGGCGTTCCTCCAGAGGACCATAGCAGTAGGAAACGGGAATAAACCAGTCAAGAAGTGTCCTCTTCAGGTTGAATCTTGCTTCTCGATCTGATTCCTGCCGAAGCATATCCCTCGCGTTTGACGCTGCTGTAGGGAAGTCCATTCTATCTAGCAGGAGACCCTGATAAAAGGAAGTAAGGAATACCTTCGAAGCACTTTCGAGAACTCTGAAAGACATTGCAATAATGTTTTTGATGCCATGCTTTGCAAAGATCTTTGCTACATTGGAGTCATCTCCACAATTTGCCCTCGCAGACTCGCAGGCATTCAAAACCACCATCCTAACTGCATATCTTTGGAGGATTTTCGCGACATGATGTGCATCTATCCTGGTCGTCTCATCCGAAACCGCGCCATCAGAGTTTCGTTTGCTGAATAAGAGAACAGCTGAATTACGCTTCTTTCTCACAGCACCATGGAGGTCGAAATGAACCAAGTGAAAGTATCCAGGATGGTGTTGATTCTCTGCTCTTGCAAGGTGTTCCTCTAAGGAGTCTAAAGTCCCCGGCCTGACAACCTCCAGATTGATTTTGATGGAACCACGTGCCCCATTAACGCTCCTTTGGACTGCTGTAAGGATTGCAGACGCACAGTTGGGGTCAATCTCAAGCCTCTTGAGTCCCCTGGAGGTATCTCGAGCGATGACTAGTAGCACGTTGAAGCTTTGCTCGCGTGGTGAAAGTGAAGTTATGATATTAGCAGCGGCGTCGGGAGGTGGCTCAGCAATTCCTCTCCGGACTTGAACTTTGACAATATTTTGGGTCCAAAGATTTGGTTGCTCAAGAAGTTCCCAGTGAAGTTGATGTATCGAATTCTGTGAGGTTTTCTCATCTAGTGAATCTTCTTTGACCTCAATCACCAACGTTCTTCGTTTATTTGAGAGAGAGCAATCTGTGTCTGGAGTAAGGCCAAGCAGGTTGAGATCTTGCTGCAAGGCCTCTGCGTAGGATTTCAGAACCTTTGCAGCTTTCTGGGCCCGGGTTGTGGAATATGGTGCCTCCGCAACGAAGTTCTCCAGATACCAACAGCATTCCTCTTTCTCTGCGTTAGTCAAAGGGTCTTTGAGTTTACAACTTTGCACAACGGTAGTTTCCCCGATGAGGATATCGATCGGCCAGGCCAATCTTTCGTTTATCTGTTCAGCCAGATGGCTCTTGGCGTAGATGGTTATGTGTTCGGGGAACAGCGGGCCCATGGTTGCAGCAGCTGGTTAAAGTTTATCAAAGAAGTCCGGTTCCTTGTATAACCATTCGAAATGGACCACTTGACCGCCGTCTAATTGATCCTTGTTTGCGCAGCCCGAAACCGTCGATTGAATACCGAGACTGACTGCAATCAGAGGTGGTGGCCCAGAACCAAAGTGGAATTCGTCGCCTCTAAGGCAGAAAAAGATGGATTTGAAGCACTGTGAGGTGCAAATGAGATGTTCCACAAAAGGGGCACCTCTCGTCCTGATAAAGTCTGAAAGAAGTCACACGGGAAACGATTGCATTGGTTTCAGCCTCGGCGGCAGGTTTTCAGCTGCTTCAGCCCATCACAGTGATACATCAGCCACAGCGGCTCGCCGAGGAACAATCACGCCAGATCCGTCAGAATCATTCTTTGCGGATATCAATATATCTGCACTCTTCCTCGATGTCCCAGGAGTGGGCCAAACTTTGTTCGACGTGGACCTGGAACAACAATTACAATTGGGGGTATCGTAAACAGAAAGTAGGTTGATACTGAACATTCGATGTTTCAATGAGATCCACTGACACTTGATAGCGGCGCCCAGGATGACGCGACGAAGACATCACTTTCTCGACGAGACATGCGCGGCAACGGAGATCAACAAGATGATGTGCCGTGTCGTTGTCAATAAGTTGCTTCCACTCCACGAGTACGCGCCAGACGACCCACTGTCACCAGGCGAGCCCTCCCATAACGTCCAAGCCATTCTGCCGAATATTCTTCCAGAGCCATTCGTCTACGAGAACCGCCGCCAGTTCCTCGAGACCGTCAACGAAGGTAGCATTCGCGCAGCGATATCATCTTTGTTCGACGTCGACTTGTCGTCAAGCGCAAAGGCCAGTCTCTTGATGCAGGGCGGAACGGTAAAGAGATATACTCTGAACAATCCGAAAAAGATATTCAGCAAGTTGATGGAGAATGAGGACTATGCGCGCGACGTGAGGGATTTGTTGAAAGACACGTCCTTTGGACGAGCATACTTGGTAGTCGGATTCTTGACAACCACTGGGACTATATGGACGCAAACTGAGAGTCGAAGCATGTCGGCCGGGCTTAAAGTAACACTTCCTGCTCAAGTGGTAGGATTACCTCTCCTTGGAGTTGCAAACCCGGAACTTCACCCATCGGTCTCAACCATAAAACGACAAGACCGACATATGCATGCGGTTGAAGAAGAGATCTTTGCCATCGCGTATGACGAGGTCAAGACTTCTTACGGCATATTGAAAAAGACACCTGTGTTGGGAAGTTCAGTCCGGCCCCAAGGTAAATCATTTGCATTCACACCCGAGAGCGATTCCGATGACTCGAGTGATGAAGACGACGGCTCAGACGCTATGGAAGTTGTGTTAGTGGATGGGTACGACGAGGACGATGAGGACGATGACTTCATGGCCCGGCCGAATCATTTTGATTGCGAAGTGGAAGATTGATAGCGAGTCGAGTGAAGATAGATGAGAATTATCGGAAAGGGGTGCTAGCATGTGAGCACCAGAGCAATATTATCAGAATTAAGCACCATTTCACGCACTACGAATCGCAGAAGATGATTTCGCAGAATTTCTATTGATTTTTGGCGGACGATCTAATTACATGATTGAACTACCACTTGTCAGGGGTCTTGTTCCCCTGCATCAACTGTTGAAATAGCGCCAAGGGCCTAGTGCTGTATCAAGCTTCCCCAGATTTCGCTTCGCTTGCACCAAAAAAACATCAGCCCATCCTCAATACCACTCCTCCACCTTACAGCAACAACAATCCACGATGTCTCTTTTTACCCCCTCAGCACGGATACTGCGAGGCCTCGGCCCTCATCTCCGAAAGTCACAATGCCTTCGCACCCGCGCTCAATTCCGCACGCTAACAACCAAACCACCCCTCTCCTCCCCTCCGAGCTCCAAACCACCCCGCACCCGGCTGGACCCCATAATCCTCCATCGCCTCGAAGCAGAACGCAGAGCATACTACAAACGCCGCTCCTACTACGCAGCAGCCGGTTTCGTCTTCGGCATGATAGCTATCTTCGTCACAGCAACACAAATCCCACTCGATCCTACCCCAAAACCTACCTCCACCTCCGACTCCTCCAGCACAACCAGCTCAATCATCAAACCCACCAAACTCGATTCAGGACGCAGAGCAGATGACCCAATGGTAGTTTTAGGAAGGGAGAGGAAAGTGGTAGTGCAAAAGCTCGGCGAGGAGCCTGAAGAGAAGGTCGACGTAGTGCATACGGGCACTTCTACAGTACCGACATTTCCTAGGATACTAGATTTTTACGACGACGAGCGAGAAGCGCGCGGTAATGGAACTGCGCCTGCTGTTCTCGACGACAGACTTGTGGAGTACCAATTAGTCGGTTTGGGCATCCGGACGGTCAGTTTTCTGGGGATAGAAGTTTATGTGGTAGGGATGTATGTCGCGACGGACGATATTGCAGCCTTGCAGCAGGGCCTGGTGAGGATGATTGACCCGGTTGCTAGTACGCTTGTCGCAGGGGAGAAGGAGCAGTTGAAGGGCAAGCTGTTTGATGCTGAGGAGGGGACGAGGGTTTGGAGCACGGTGTTGAAGGAGGGGGGCATTAGAACGTTGTTGAGGATTGTGCCGACGCGGAATACGGACTTCCACCACCTGAGGGATGGCTGGGTTAGGAGTATTACGGCTAGGGCGGTGGCTGATAAGGAACAGTATGGAGATGAGGCGTTTGGGGATGCGGTAAGGGAGTTTAAGGGGTTGTTTAATAGGGGGAGCGTGCCGAAGCAGAAGGAGCTGTTGCTGAGCAGGGACAAGAAGGGCAAGTTGGCGGTTTGGTATGATGATGGGAAGAACGGGGCACAGAGGTTGGGAGGTGTGCGTGATGAGAGGTTATCGAGGGCTGTGTGGTTGAATTACCTGGCTGGGAAAACGGTCGCAAGTGAAGGAGCGAGGAAAAGCATTATAGAGGGCATTATGGAGTTCGTAGAGCGTCCCGTTGGCACCGTAGCCACACAGGTTGTATAGTATGTAAATATAGCATCACACCCAAAATTAAAATATGCAATGCGTATCCAAAGTATCAACCTTGTTTTCATTTCTAGTGTATCATCATCATTTCTCCCATCCCACATCTAGTTTACAAAGCGCCAGCATCCTTCAACAATTGAGGCAGTTGGCTCTTCTTCGCCTGTAAATCCGAATTGCCACCGATGTGTTGCTTCTTGATGTATATATTTGGCACCGATCGCTGGCCGTTGATCTCCTCGAGCGCATCCTGGATTGCCCTCCCGTCATCTGCATGCAATATTAGCCCCCGTCTTTCTTTTTCCCTCTCTCATCCACCAAGGATAACTCACCAACTTGATCCAACTCAATGGTATAGTACTTCGCGCCCATCTCGGTCAAGAGAGTCTTTGTAGCTCTGCAGTATGGGCAGTATGATTTGCTGAAGACGGCTAGAGTATACCAATGGGTTAGCAATTGCGCAAGATCGGGAATGGGGTGGGGGAGGGAAGGAGGGAGTACTTACCAACAGCATTCTCGTCAATGATTTGCTCGGCCTTGGTCTTTGCGGCAGACATGTTTGCGGGGCTGACAGAAGTCGAAGTGAAGAATCGGCGTAGGAACGAAATGGTGGGCAACTGTTTTGGGGGTTGTTTTGGGAAAGGGGGTTTTGCGCTCTTTAAGTACGGAGGGGGAGGGGCGAGGGGCAAGGGGCAATGCCGCAATGGATACTTTATCAAAGCGGAATGGAATCAGAAAGTGAATTTCTAAGAAGAGTACCGAGTGATTGTGATGACTGATTGGGCCAGGTCTGGAATGACGCAAGATGCAGCGAGTGATTGGGGCCGAGGCGATCTCGCAGAAGGATGACAAAGAGAGAGCGACCCTTGCCGAGCCTGGCACAAGCCATCCTTGAACGAAGCAGAAGAAGCATCACCACCGCTTTGCTGGCAGGTTCCGAAACGAGGTCAGTATTTGGAATCTCTGAAAGAAAAAAACACGGCATGTTCTGAAATACCGGAAATTGAATAGAATTATGTGAGAGGATGATCGTGACATTTTCAAGACATTGAGAAACGCTCGTCAGCATGACCATGACAACGTGATTCCCGCCCCCAAAAGATGTGTTGGAAAAGATTTCCATTTTCGCTTCCGGGCACAACCAGCTGTCCTTGTCCTCGAGTCAACTCCACGCCTCCGATCAATCCACCCCACCTCACCTCACCACCTGACTCAAAAGGCAAGCACATATCCAATAAGCCAGGCACCAGATAGGTTTCCGCAGGGCTCAAGGAAACCAGATTCAAAACTGGCTTCCTCCAGCGCCGTGGGTGGCACGCTGTCATCCATTCTCTCGCGACTTCCTGACTCTCTTCAGAGCTACCTCGACGCCTCTCTCACACATCTGCAATCCGCCTACTCCTCACTCCCGCCCTCCACTCAATCCTACCTCGAATCTGCAGCCAAGGCCACGCACCTCGACAGCGTCCCTCCCACCGTCGCTGGTAGCGTCCTCCTGCTCCTTACAACCGCAGCAGCAGTTTCAATGAGCGGCTGGGGCCGCTCGTTCTGGGGTGGACCAAGACCACGACTCTCGCCCTTTGGAAGTCGTGCATACACACCAAACGTCACGGACGAAGACTTCTCGTATATCACCTCTGAAGACTTAGCCCATCCAGGGCGAACATATGACCCTCACGCACGACCTCCTCCCCCTTCCCTCTCGGCGGAAGACGATGTTCTGTTGATCAAGAACAAGGGGATTATATACCCGGTCAAGTTCCCGGCGTACAGTATCGGGGATGGGAAGCTGGAGGTTAGGGATGTGAGGGAGCGTGCTGCGGATGTCATGGATCTGCCGGACGGCAGTGCAAGGAGGATCAAGTTGCTGTATAAGGGCCAGCAGTTGAAAGATGACTATAAGCCGTGCAGGGACTACAGTCTCAAGAATAACAGCGAGGTGCTGTGTATAGTGGGCGATGCACAAGAAGGCAGCGAGGACTCAGAGGATGACAGCGAAAGCGTGGCTGAGGGCGTAACTAAGAAGAAACGGAATCGCAAGAGCAAGAAGAAGGGGAAGAGGAAGGATGGCAATCTTTCTCCTGGCGATGGGGCAAGTTCTGATGCCAGAGGAGCCAGCTCTGCGAATTCCAGAACGGTGTCCCCGGCTCCGCCGAACAGCGCGATGGAGAAGATCCAGGCTATTTCTTCCCATTTCCATACCAAAATCTTGCCCATGTGCGTCCAGTTCACCGCTTCTCCGCCCGAGGATCCCAAGAAGAGAGACTTTGAGCATAAGAAGCTGAGCGAGACGATCATGAATGAGGTCTTGCTCAAGCTGGATGCTGTGGAGACAGAGGGGGATAATGAGGCGAGGGAGAAGAGGAGAGCGTTGGTTAGGGAGACGCAGGGCGTTTTGAATGGCTTAGATGAAAAGGTTTAATTCTACGTTCTAGAGTGATGGGCCAGCATATTACGAATTTCCTTGCGCATTTGCATGGGCGCTTGCAGGAGGAAGGGAGAGATGCTTGGGCATGGCGTTTGCGAGATATGGCTTAGTTGCATGGGGTCGTTGACCATAGTGGGGACTTGAAAGACAGGTTTCTCATATAGAATGGCATGCCTTTCTGATGATCTTGGGCGTTGTGATTCCAGTTGAAGATGGAGCGTGCCGTGGTTTACTTCATATTGTGGCTGAATTAACCATCAACAGCTGGAACAATCAACTTGAATGGCTTTTCGGTGACACTGACACATTGAAGCCTGTGAATAAGATACATTCATGTTGTTATATTACTTGCTTTCTAAGTATCCCAGGAAAAGCAAGGTTAAAGGATTCAATGTACCAAATTATGGGGGACTTTCAGACAACAATTTGCTACTATTGTCTCACAGGGGGTTTAAACTCCGGGATCCCGCTGCGTTTTTCCCCTCCCAATATCACCGTTTGCAGCCCCAGCAAATCACGGGGATGGTAAATGTTAAAAACAACCAGCCATCAACATCCGCCCAACAAGTTGCCATCAATCCTCGATCAACGAGAATTGGAAATCTAGAGCCGCTTTGTTAAATCATTTTCACTGAACAAATTCACCTCGCTGCACTCAAAGTTTTGGATTTTGTCAATTGGGCTTTTCAGGGCCCAGTTGTGGTCACGTGGACGCTAAAGAAGCGAGTCGCACTTTCTTTCTACAATTTCTGTGCAGGGCATCGGAATCAAGTAACTCACGACAAATCGACACCACACCTCCACCATCACGAAGGTAGAGGATACCGGCAACCCTTCCGACATCTGTCTTCTCACCACCGTGAAGCAGGACAAAAATGTCGACCTTCGAGCCAACCGTAAGTCTCCCGTACCACCTCGCACCTCGCGCCTGTCAACACGATGGAAAAGCTTTGCGGATTGAGGATGAGGACTGTCTGGGAAATGGATACTGATTCTACTGTGTGGCATAGATCACGATCGATGGCAAGGGTCATCTCCTCGGTCGGCTGGCAAGCACTGTCGCTAAGCAGTTGCTCAATGGCCAGAAGATCGTCGTTGTGCGCTGTGAGGCCTTGAACATCTCCGGAGAGTTCTTCCGTGCGAAGCGTACGTTATACCAATGCTCCCCAGCTGCTGCATTCGATTTGAAGGAAAAGGGATTGGTTGGCGCGTCGAGGACACGATGGGACGATGACTGACTCGATTTTGTCCACAGTAAAGTACCACGCCTACCTCCGAAAGATGACCCGATACAACCCAACTCGAGGAGGTATGATCTCCCTCCCGGACTGCGAAGCTGTCGAATTTGCGCAAGGAAATTTTGTCTGACTCATAACAGGTCCTTTCCATTTCCGTGCTCCGTCAAGAATCTTCTACAAGACCGTCCGTGGCATGATTCCCCACAAGACCGCCCGCGGTGCCGCTGCTATGGAGAGACTCAAGGTTTTCGAGGGTGTCCCGCCGCCATATGACAAGATCAAGAGAGTTGTTGTCCCGCAAGCATTGAGGGTATTGAGATTGAAGCCCGGCCGAAAGTACTGCACGGTTGGCAGGTTGAGCCATGAAGTCGGCTGGAAGTACCAAGATGTTGTTGCTAGGTTCGTACTGCTGGGTTACTGGAGCTGAGAATCAGAGCTGACTGGAAATAGACTTGAGGAGAGACGAAAGGTTAAGGGCGCAGCATACTATGCACGCAAGAAGGCGGCAAGAAAACAACTATCGGACGCCCAAAAGAGCGCGAAGGTTGACGGCAAGACCAAGAAGCAGTTGGCCGAGTACGGTTACTAGACATTCCTCGGGAGTTGATTCTGCTTTTCGGGATGGTTTGGGGCTGTTCATGTTTCCTGCTGCGGTTTTCGTATTCTGCGTCAGCATCAACACCTTTTCAATGCTTTGTTCGAGCCTTTCGTTTGGCGAGATCCCAAGGCCTGGTTACACCACAATCATACGCATACACTGGTCGGAGGGGTTGCTATCATCGAAAAGAGCGTTGATATCTGGGAACTCTGCTGTGTATAAGCTTTCGTCTTGCATGCCATAAGGAAATGAATCCGAATAAAGAATAAGAATAGAGGCGTCTTTGGACCTGTGACATGGAGAGGACTTGATATGCTAATGATATTGATGGAAGGCCTCATAATTGAACATCCGTCTCAATAAGCTGATGTGAATCTCCCATATATATCCCTGTTCGTACTCCCCTACCTCTCAGCAAGTAATCTTGCCGTATCTTTCCTATTCAATTCTCTTCTCTTCCAACCTCCCCCATCCCAGCTCTCAGCCTTGCATTAACCCTCGACTCCTTCCACCCTTCTAATCAACCAATCACACCCCAAACCACCAAAAGGAAGTCTCCCGATACCGCCAACCTTTCCTCAGGCTAGCTTCCACTCATCCCTCCAACCGAGGAAGTCGAACTCCAATAGCAGAGCGGGCCCGCAAGCCAACCTACCCCACACCAAGCTAAGATCGTCGCCAGCCAGTGACGAGCTCCCCTTGGCTTCTCCATAAGAAGAACTTCTCCCCTGCTTTAAATTTTCTTAGATACTTAAACACACCTCTCTCAACTCAATTACCCTCGTTATTTTCTTAGACTGCGGTTCTATAAGAGGAAGCAATTCAGCAAGCCATTGGATGTGTTCCTTCGGACACTCGTGATACTCCGCCAATCGTCACCAACGTCACCTCATCCCACCAGCTTGTTTGAACTTATATATCTCATCCACCTTCACCACCAGCTCCCTCCTCAATCCTCTCTCTCACGCCAAGTCCTTGAAATGTCACCACCACTCTCCCGACTCCAAGCGCTCACAACACACTTCCTCCCCTCCGCCTCGCCCACCGCAACAGACCCCACAAAATACACGCACACTCATCACATCCATACGCTTTCTCCAACTTCATTTCTCCCACGAGCCGCCGAGATAGAACCAGATGCGGAAGCTATCGTCCACATAACGTCCAACGGAGCCATCCTGCGACGCACTTACACCGAATTCGGAGACCGGTCTCGCGGGCTCGCTTACTTCCTGCTCAAGCACGGCTTCAAGCGCATCGGGATCCTGGCACCCAACACCCCTGCTTTCCTGGAAAGTATTTTTGGGATTGCGGCTGCCGGAGCGGTTAATGTGGCGGTTAATTATAGGTTGAAGACGGAGGATATTAGTTACATCTTCACGTTCTCGGAAGTCGATGTAATCATCGTAGACCAAGAATATTTGCATCTTCTAGATGATTTTAGGAAGCAAAGACCAGGAGTACCGTTTATCATCGACACGGACACGGATGCCACCTCAGGCGAGCTTTCGGGGCCATTCGATGAGGCGGTGTTGGAAGGATTGAGATGGGATGGCGAGAATGGGGCGAAAGGATGGAAGGGCTTGAAAGCCCAGGCAGATGATGAGGATGATATGATTGCGATTCCGTTTACGAGTGGGACGACGGCGAAGCCGAAGGGTGTTGTTTATACGCATCGTGGTGCGTATCTTGCGGCGCTGGGGAATGTGATTGAGAGTGGCCTGAACTTTCATACGGGGCGGTGCGGGTATCTTTGGACGCTACCGATGTTTCATGCTATGGGCTGGAGTAAGTGAACACTCTCTTTTTTGACTTTCTGGAAGTTGGGATTTTGGAATAGGTATCACTTTTCAAGTGGACTTGGATGGTTGAAGGAGTTTTCCGAGCTACTCAGCTCCAGTCTGAAGAGTCCTTGAAATCACCCTATCCTCTCAACTATGAGCCCAAATTCTGTCTGGACGAAACGATATTTTCATATCAAATCTTTTGGTGCCAAATTACTAACATCCACCCTAGCATTTCCGTGGGCAGTAACAGCCGTCCGAGGAACCCATTACTGCCTCCGCAAAATCGACTACCCCCTGATCTGGAAACTCCTCAAAACCGAAAACATCACACACTTCAACGCAGCCCCAACAGTCAACACCCTCCTCTGTGCCTCTAAAGATGCTTCAAAACTCCCCAACCCGGTCCGTGTCACCGTAGCCGCCTCGCCACCAACAGCCCATCTCTTCGAGCAAATGACAAACCTAAACCTCTACCCCGTGCACGTCTACGGCTTAACCGAAACCTACGGGCCCATCACAAAAGGTTACCACATGCCTGTCTGGGACACGCTCCCCCTCAAAGAAAAATACGCGCGAATGGCGCGCCAGGGTCACGGCTTCATCACCGGCCTCCCCATCCGGATCATCAAGCCCGACCAACCCGACGGCGTCCTCATCGACGTCGCGAAAGACGGCAAGGAGATTGGAGAAATCATCTTTTTTGGCAATATCTGCGCGAAGGAGTATTTGAAAGATGACGAGGCGACGAGGAAGCTGTTTGCCGGGGGTGCGTTGCACAGTGGAGATTTGGCGGTTTGGCATGAGGATGGGAGTGCGCAGATCTTGGATCGGGCGAAGGATATTATTATCTCTGGTTTGTGTCCCGTTCCTTTCCCTTTCCCTCCCTCTTCCTTCCTTTCATTTTACTGACGTTAAGATTCTTTAGGAGGCGAAAACATCTCCTCCGTCGCCCTGGAAGCAATGCTCGTGCAACATCCCTCCGTCCTCGAAGCAGGCGTAGTGGCGGTATCAGATTCCCACTGGGGCGAGCGTCCAAAGGCTTTCATTACCGTCAAAGAAGGGAAGGAAATGAAAGGCGAGGAACTGATCAAGTGGGCGAAGCACGAGAGTGCAATTAGTAAGTTTATGGTGCCGAGGGAGGTGGAGGTTGTGAAGGAGCTGCCGAAGACGAGTACGGGGAAGGTGAAGAAGAATGTGCTTAGAAAGTGGGCGAAGGGGGACTATAGTGAAAAGTGAAGGATGAGTGAGGTTGGCATGAGAAGAAGTGTATATATTTCGCTTTGCAGCTTAGACGGGTTGTGAGTGGTTGCTTAGACAAATCTCTGTATTATTCTTTCAGTGTGGGTTATGGTCGGCCCATTGATTCCTAACCAATATTTCGACGGAGCTTTATCTCAATAAACGAACTCCCAGCCAAAAATTCAAGACTGAGATCACTCTACCTCCGAAATGTCGTTGCGGTTTTCCAGCATCAAGACCACGAAGTTCCATCGCTGGCCAAGGTGAGTCGACGAGTGTCCTCCTTGAATCCTCATAGCCTGCCTCTTCGCCTCACCGTTTCACATGTCAGTGCTAGATTACCCCCTAGAAATATGGGCGGCGGAACTCACTTTAGGTGGGCTTGGTACCACTATAAACCTTAAAACCACAACATCGCATCCGTTGCCCACCTTTTGGGGGAATCTTCCTCCATATCTTGACATTCAAAGGGCAGATTATCAAGACATAATCGATTAATAACCTGTAGATTTACCCTGGCTAGCCACAAGTGCTTGTGTTGGGACAGTCGCAATATATCCTTCCTCATTGACCCAGACAAGCTGCGTGTCCTCGTTTAGAATGGGAACCTAGCCCATACGGGGGTTTTATCATGTTACGCTCCGCAGTATGGACGCCTATCGAATGGCGCATGGAGAATCACCCTGAGGGAGAAAACCTTCAAGATATTGATGCCGCGCAAGAAGGATACCACAAAAACCGAACCAGGCTATTGTTGACATTGCTCAGAGCTACAGGTTTGAGAAGCTTCTCTGCCGGTGTGTGAGTCTGAGACGATCTGAACTTCAGGACTGACCATGGTCACTTTAGCCGTCAAGATGCGGCGATATCATCCGAGTGTATGGATGCCCTGCCCAGGTGTTCCGATCTTCAAAGTCTGGTAATGGAGTTCCCTTGGGAAATGGAGGTGTTCCAGTTCACCAGATCAGAGGTGGGATGGGTGACGCCCCATGAAAATGACGCCCAGAAATTCCACATCCGACATCCTGAATTCAAATTGCCTGCCTTCTCTAGTCTTCAGAGACTGTCGCTGCATGGCTTGTGGGGAGACATCGGGAGTTGGAGGACCCAAGTGCTGCATGTCATTCTGAACTCTCCTCAGCTCAAACATATCAGCCTTTACTATCTCGAGAGGTACCACAGCGATACTTTTGTGCGGGCGCACACCAAGTAACAAGCATTGTCTCGAATTCCTCGAGTGGCTTAGCAACCAATGCTGAGAGAAGAAAGGCCAATCTTTGAAGTTGATCTCAATAAGATCGAGTTGGGGAATTCCTTTCCCGAAACTCTCTTCCGTGGCCAAAGCCATCAATTTAGATGCATTGGAAGAGGTTTACATCAAAACCCTCGAAAGTCGCCCTCAACTCTACAACGACATGCCAGATGTCTTCGTTTCGCATCTTCGACCTACTTTGTGAATCTTATTCTTCTATTAGCAGCGAAGTGAAATCCGCGTATCACTCCCTTCGTGGGTGAACTCCGCCATGAATTCTAGAAGGGGAGAGAGCCTGGGGATTACTTGCTCCAGCGGTCTCAGTGCGGAATTCTTGGTTTACGACTGTGTGGACTCGAGAGTGTCAGGATACCGATGCTGATGATCGCACAAGACCAGAACTGGGATCTCCACGAAAAGAGCGTGCCGCATCCTCCAGCCCCCTCTTGGATCACGACTCTTGCCTTCAAACTAGAGTACCTGAAGGAATCAAATGACATTCTAGCATACCTCCCCAGTTTCTGTGACGGCTATGATTGCACTCGAAGCTTTATGGATCATGCGCCTAGAGGGTCCTGTGACTCGGGCGTCAGAAAAGTAGCAAAAAACATGAAAATGACCAATTGCACTTCGGCCCCCGAGCACATTTCGCAGGCTTCTCGGAGCCTGCGTTATATAAAGATTAGACTGCATGCGTGGCGGATCTGAAGGAAAGGCGACGCGCAAAACATGGCATGCCTGGAAGCCTTAGATGAGTGGGAGGGGCCTGTGTTCTTTCATGTCCCCTCTCTGCCGCGATGGAAGGACGGAATGTCTTGGCTTCGAAGGTTGATTTGACAGGATTGCCAATATGCTACTCTCCCCTCCTCTAAATAAAACGTAGCCTGACAAAGCTGGCACGGCCGTTCTCGGGTATACCGCACCCTGGCCGCGCTACGTTTTACCCCGCGGTCACGCTTTTAGTCTTTTAGTCTTTTAGTGAAAAGCGAAGAGCCTAAACAGGCGATCGATCGACACCCGGAGTCATCCTCAGGATCAACCACCCTAAACCAACTAGTCAACGAATGAGCCTAACGAGGCTTGAATTTATCTCCGGAACCCAGAAGCTCTCCGCGTCGAGTCCTAAGATGTGATTTCGCAGGTTAAACAGTTCACTAGAGTCTACCAACACCTCGGAGGGGTCTCTCTGCCGAGGGACTTTGATCTTTTCCAAAGACTCCACCTAATGGCGAACCCGACAGGTTTCTGAAGGACTAGAGGAGAGCTTGCTGCAGAAGAAAGGGATCGCAGTCAAAAACTTACCTCCATGACGCGGCAAAAGGATTTTAGACTGTAGACTCGGGCCTAGTTCCTAGTAGTGCCGCCTTAGATGCCTCATTAGGGTGGAAGTGTCTAGCTGCTAGTACGCTAGACTGTTGGGGGGGGGGGGGGGGGGGGGAGTTTCCCCCCACCCCCCCCCCCCCCCCCCCTCCTCCTCCCCAAGGCAGAATTCCTAATTAGGGGTATAGCACCCACACGTGACTTTTGGCTTGGATAACGCAATAATAGTAAGGCTGCTTGCTTGTCTAATTAACGAAGTGAGAGCCCATACTACCACATGAAATCGTACCAAAATTGGGCCGGGTAGTATAATATAAAATTAAGTATTTATTACAAATTACTATAGTCAGGTAACTACAGGCTATAAGCCCTTCTAGAATAATGCTATTAATAGGGTCTAATAACTTCCTTAATATTCCCGAGATTAGAAATAAGAAAATTAAACTATTAAAATAACTAAAAAGCCGGCTAATTACTTTTTTTTAGTAATTAATTAATAAAATCATATAAGAGTAATATTACTCGAGTTTTTTAGTACTTATATTACTAAAAAGTATATTATAATAGTAAAGTATACCCTAAACTTAATTTCTATTAAAATAACTTAGTAGATTTTATTAAAATAATACTATAATTTTTAATAAATCTATTACTATATTATAAAGCTATTACTAAATAGGCTTATATAAATATTAATTAAGAAGAAATTATAAATAGATTAAAAGATTTATATAGAATCTTAGTTAATCTATATATAGTCCAATAGTAACTACAAGAATAGAATATCTAAATATATACTTAAATAGTAGATACGCCTTTCCTTTATATATAGATTATAATCCTATATTATCTAGGAGATATAAATAAGGAAATACTTGAGGATCTTAAGAATTATAATTATATAGCTTTAATTACTAGAGTTATTCGTATATATAAGAAGCTTAGTCTCATTTGCCATATAACTATAATAGATAGGCAAGCAGTAAACGAATAACTATTTATAATACTATAGAGTAAGCTAAATAATAGGCGAGTTATAGATTATAAATAGTAGTATTTATATATATATTTCCGTTAATAAGGTTTACTAGTAACCCGGTTAGTCTTTCTATACTTTACTATTTTGCCCTAGCTTAAAAGATTAGAGCCTTATTTACTAATGTATTTTATTATCTATAGGGAGAGCTTATATATAATATTATAACTCCTAGATCCCGAGATAATTATACTATAAATATAACGGATATAGTTTAAGAAAGAAGAATATATTATATCTGGGCCGGACTAGATTTAGTTAATTAATAAATATAATAAGCTATTATTATTTGGGATCGAGATATATACTTATATTAATACTTATTTATATAATATTATCTGGGTATATATCGGAATCTCTAATTAGACTATTTATTTAGTTATATAATAGTATCTTTAGATTTGTATTTAAATAGGCTATTGCCCTTACTTCTTTAAGGCTAATCGAGGCTCTAAACTCTCCCTTATTACCGAAACATACTTTATATTCTTATAGATAGCCGATTCATTAGTTATATATATAGAGAACTACTTTATTTCTAGGAAAAGCACCGAGAATTAGCGGGTTAAATCCTGGTAGTAAAAGCTTTAGAAAAGCTAGCTATACCGGTAGTATATAAGTAATTCCGTTTCCCTATATCTGCCCCTTATTCTTTTTATTATTAGAAGAAAATATTAGGTACTAATAATTATACCGCTTTTTATTAAAGCTATTAGGTCTAGTATTATAGTACCAGATTATATAACTAATTCCGATTAGTATATATAGAACTACTTTCAGAAACTGGCTTATATCAGAAATTATAATTACTAATACCTATAGAACCGGATTACTTTACTAGTATTTTATATATAGCAGATCCAAAACAAGATATATAGGTTTACGGACTTATAGAATATCTATAGGATTAGAAAAGATAGATCTAGGCCTAATATAGTAGCTAGTAAGCCATTCAGACTATATATAAGGCCCCTAGGCAGGGTATAGTACTAGGGTTATCCTATAAATATAGAGCTTTATAATATAATCCTTAATAATTATTTAGTTTGGGATAAGTAATATAACCTTATATAGCTTTATACGAATAGTTTACTTATATACCAATATAGATATTAACGAGTTTCTACTAAAAGAAATACTAGAGTAGTATTATTAGAAGCTTATATCTTATAGTATAAATATAGCTAATATTTATATAGGAAATACTAATAGAAACAGTAACTAACTATATATTTAAGCTTATTACTAGCTCTGATATATAGTCCGGGCATATATAGCCTTAGGGCAGCTACTAATATTAGGAGAGTCCGAGAAGCTAACTAGTAGATATAATATTACTATTATATGAAATAGGATCTTTAAGTAAGTTATCTTAATAAATATAGAATATATAAATAATATATAGGCCAGAAGAATACCTGTATAGTTCCTAATAGTTCAGGACTTTATCCAGAAATAGTTCTTTATTAGTAATATTTCTAATAATATAGGATAATTAAATAAGCCGGTTACGGAATAACTAGGTATATTAAGATAGGTATTATTTATTATTAAATATATTATTTTTAAAACTTCCTTTTTACTTTTAAGAATAATACTAATAGAATTATTAAGTTTATCTATTATATAAATATTCTATATCCTCAAATTCTTATCTCTTAAAATAGTACTACTATTTCTCA